AATGAAACACGGAAGCGGTTACCGTAGCTCTTCCTATTTGTTCCTTCTGAAATGACCGTTGCTGAGGTGATCAAACTATGGTATCGCATGAGAGTACAAAGTACAGTAGATTGAAGACTGTTAACTTTTAACGAGAGCCTAGAATGAAATTCATGAACCCGAAACAGCAAGTTCATTAATACAATGGTATATCTGGAGAGCAGAACTCTTTAAGGCATTTTGCTCAAGCATACACACCCAGCTGATAAATCTACATGGAATGAATGAAACCACCGAGTGCAATTAACCACTAAATAATGCGGGACTGAATCATTTTAAAGTACCAGCTACCATCTGAACGAAGAACGGCGAATCAGAGATAAGACAGACGGCAGACTTGGATGGACTGATATCTAATAAAATGTCTAAAAAGCCACTCCAACACTCTGCGGGTAAAAATATGAGAAATTTAGCACAGCAAACAAGTAGTTTATTTTTCTCGCTATAAAGCGTCTCTGTTTTGGAATGACATTTATGTGTTTTATCATAGCATAAAGCGCGATTTAAAAAGTACAAAAGCGGCTTTTTACCTCCTCTTCTCGAGCACGTTGGGCTGCGACCTCTCGTTCTTTACGTTCCTTTTCTTTTAGTCGTTCTTTCCTCGCCTCTTCCTCTTCGTCATCCTAAAAAAACAGGCTGATATGGTTGACTGACACTGAGAAACAAAAAATGATGCATATCATTAATAATTACCGAGTTTTCGGATGTTAGCGTTTTGCAGTACTCTTTAAACCAGTCTTCCTTTAAACTGCTGCTGTCGACCTGGCGATAGCGCGCATCGCTGTCGATCGTTTTCTTGATTTCTGACCATTTGCTGTGCTTGCGAATCGTATCTTGCTCTTTGAGCAATTCAACGAATTCCGTCTTTTGCTGAAACGATGACTTTGTAACCGGATGTCGCAATTTTTAAAATTATTACTGTAAAACACACATTCTTTGATAGTTTAGCTTAATTTAAACAACACCAGCTGATTAAAAGAAATGGCGCCGAAATATCGACAAACCCTTAGGACTTGAAGCATAAGCTTAACAGAAAGTGTCAATCTCGAACTATCGACCATCTGAAAATCACGGCCCATTAATGAAAGTGGCATTTTTGTTGATTGAAACTCGGCTACGTCAAACGGCGATGACTGACGTAAAATCAAAAATATAACAACTTATGACTAGATTAGAACCCATAATTCCTTGAAAATAAATCTTTAGACAGAACAAGTGATAATGATGAAAAGCAAAAAAAGGAATATAGAACGAAATGGACAGCAAAAAAAACCACCGGCCTCGCAATCTATTTTTCTGCACGATTTTTATT